ACCCGAGGAATGGCACCACGCACCTCCAAGGGAAAAGCGCGACGCCGAAAGTCATGGACGACTACCAGCACCGCGTCAGGATCGCCGTAGACTTCGCGTGGAGGCGCGAGGTGGCTGCCAACGGCAACGGGGATGTCGATCAGCTGCTGACTCACCTCATGAACGCGCAGTACCGTGACGGAAAACACAGCAGGTATGGCGCGAAATTGCTGGTGGCCTGGGTGGCGAGCTACCCCGCGTACGGCAAGTTTGGAGTGATGGTGCTTCCCAGGGGCGGGAGGGTCTTGAAGGGCTGGAAGCGGCTGGTGCCTGGCCGCGCTCGCAAGTTTTACCGTTTCCCAGTGGTGGCCGGCCTTGTGACAGCGCTGATCCATTTGGACTAGCTGGAAGTGGGCCCGTGGGTGCTGGCGGCTTTCGGCTTCTACCTCAGGCCCTGCGAGTGCCTGAGGATCCAGCCCGAGGACCTCGTCGCTCCCGTGACAGGAGTCTCCAGCTACTGGGGCCTGCTGGTGGCGCCCGAGTCGCCCGAGGAGCGCGGGGTGCCGACCAAGGTGGGCGCCTTTGACGACAGCCTGCTGCGGGACGAATCCTACCTCCTCTTCATGAACGGCCTGTTCGGGGTGCTGCGCCAGCGCCTCCTGGGTTGTCTTTGGGGCCTCCTGAACTGTTTAGGGGCCCTCGTGGGTTTTTCCCCGCATGCTTAGTGGGGTTATATGTTTCTTCTCTGCCGCGTCGCACCCGCGTCTCCTTCTCCTCCCTCCTCCTCCTCCTCCTCCTTCTCACACAGCACAGCGCAGCACAGCACAACACAGCACAGCATAGCGCACAGCACGTTGACACACAGCACGTACACAGCACAGCACAGCAGAGCACTGCTCAGCACAGCTCAGCTCAGCACGGCACAGCTCAGTTCGGCACAGCACAGCTCAGCACAGCACAGCACTGCACAGCACAACATAGCACCTCAGCACAGCACTGCTCAGCACAGCTCAGCTCAGCACAGCACTGCACAGCACAGCACAGACTAGCTCAGCACAGCACAGCTCAGCTCAGCACAGCACAGCCCTGCACAACACAGCACTGTACAGCAATGCGCAACACAACACACACAAGCACGCAAACACACGAACACATGACCCGCACACCACGCAACACATGCGCGCCAATAGGAGGTGCGCAGGGGGTGGTCCCTGACGGCGGCCGCTATGCGTGACGGTCGTCCAGGGCATATCACGCGTGGCATATTCTCGACACCACAGGGGGTGCGCACGGGGTGGTCCCTGAGGGCGGCCGCTATCCGTGACGGTCGTGACACCATACGGGGTGCACACGGGGTGGTCCCTGAGCGCGGCCGCTACCCGTAACGGTCGTCCAGGCCACGGTAGGCGTGGCGTTTTCTCGACACCACACGGAGTGCTCACGGGGTGGTCCCTGAGCGCGGCCGCGATCCGTGACGGTCTTCCAGGGCACAGCAGGCGTGGCGTTTTCTCAACACCACAGGAGGTGCGCACGGGGTGGTCCCTGAGCGCGGCCGCTATCCGTGACGGTCGTCCAGGGCACAGCAGGCGTTGCGTTTTCTGGGCACCGCAGGGGGTGCGCACGGGGTGGTTCCTGAGCGCGGCCGCATATTCTCGACACCATATGGGGGTGCGCACGGGGTGGTCCCTGAGGGCGGCCGCTATGCGTGACGGCCGTCCAGGGCACAGCAGGCGTGGCGTTATTTGGACACCGTAGGGGGTGAGCACGGGGTGGTCCCTGAGCGCGGCCGCTATCCGTGACGGTCGTCCAGGGCCCAGCACTCGTGACGTTTACTCGACACCACACGGGGTGCGCACGGGGTGGCCGCTATCCGTGACGGTCGTCCAGGGCACAGCAGGCGTGGCGTTTTCTGGACACCGTAGGGGGTGCGCACGGGGTGGTCCCTGAGCGCGGCCGCTACCCGTGACGGTCGTCCAGAGCACAGCAGGCGTGGCGATTTCTGGACACCATACGGGGTGCGCACGGGGTGGTCCCTGACCAGGGCACAGCAGGCGTGACGTTTTCTCGACACCACAGGGGGTGCGCACGGGGTGGCCGCTATCCGTGACGGTCGTCCAGGGCACGGCACGCGTGGCGTTTTCTCGACACCACACGGGGTGCGCACGGGGTGGTCCCTGAGCGCGGCCGCTATCCGTGACGGTCGTCCAGGGCACAGCAGGCGTGGCATATTCTCGACAGTACCGGGGGTGCGCACGGGGAGGTCACTGACCGCGGCCGCTATGCGTGACGGTCGTCCAGGGCACAGCAGGCGTGGCGTTTTCTGGACACCACAGGGGGTGCGCACGGGGTGGTCCCTGAGCGCGGCTGCTATCCGTGACGGTCTTCCAGGGCACGGCAGGCGTGGCGTTTTGTCGACACCACACGGGGTGCGCACGGGGTGGTCCCTGAGCGCGGCCGCTATCCGTGACGGTCTTCCAGGGCGCAGCAGGCGTGGCGTTTTCTCGACACCACAGGGGGGCGCGCAGGAGGGATTGTTAGCCACTTTTGTTCATGCCGGCTCAGACCGTTCAGGCTTGCACGCAGGCGTGCTCGCGCCGGTGATTGTCCGTCAAGGTGCGCCCGTCATGGCGCCCAAATGTGCCATGTCCGCGCTTCCGCCTCCGTGCGAGCAGCTTAAGAACTCAATGCTAGAGATGGGCGCCGAAGTGAGTTTGGATGGTTTACGCGACCATGTTGACAGGCATGGGAACGGCTTGGTGCGCAACGCACATAATGCTTCCCAGCGACAGCTTCTAAGCTGGTGGCCCGAGACGCTTCTCACCATATACAATGCATTGCCACGTCAACGAGGCGCCGACGATGCCAGGAGGCGTTTCTTCGCATCTGATCAGAAGTTTTCGGCCGAATTTCGCTTGGGATCAGCAGAGGCAGAATGTCGTGTGAAAATTTGGGATGTAGAAGAGGCAAGATGTCGTTTGATATTTGTTCCAGGAGTTCGCAGGGGCAGGGAATTGCAAATGCCAGCCTGAGTTTGGGGCCGCGCCAGGTCTAAGCCTTGATCAGGGAAGCGCAGCAACGTTGGGCGACACGACGATAGCAGTCAGCCGCCAGCCTCACTCGCGCGCTGCCCGCTCACATCTTCTTCGGTGAATTGGCTCGGAGGCTGACAGATAGAACCCGCACGCTGCCAAGTCGCTTAGCGAACTGCCCGTTTTCGACCCTCGGGGTGGCACTTTGGCCGAAATTGCTGTGGGGCCCGCGCCCGCTTGGGTCAGAGCTGGGGCCGTTCTCATTGAAGGGTGTTTTGCTAAAGGGTTGTCTGTCCACCCCCGAATGAAGGGTTTCCCGTAGATCGCAGCGAGGGCCTCTATGATCGACTGTTGAGCTCTCCTGACAGCGGGGAGGTGCAAAGAATGCAAGATTCAACAATCAAGGATTTCGCTTCTGGGGGCCATTTTTCGGCCCTCCTGGAGCGTTTTTCTTTTGGGAGGGGCTCTCTTGATGCCCTTTTGGGTTTTTTTTTTGGGAAGCCCTGGGAGGCATCTTCGGGCAATCTTGCAGCGCATCGATCAACGGAAAATAAAGTTCCTCGATTCTTGCCTCCATTCAGGAACCCTCAAAATCGGCGTTCGGGGCGCTTTGGGGGTCGTCTTGGAGCCCTTTGGGCCCCTTCTCGGGGCTCTCTTGGGCGATCTTGTGGCAACTTTGCGGTTTCATAAACCCTCTGGAAGCGAAAAAGGAAGACATTTGCATACATTGGGTGGAAGGGCTTGAGCTTGGGGGAGGCTTGGCGGCCCTTTCGGAGCTGGCCTGGAGGTTTCGGATCGCATACTGAAAAACATGTTCGAAGCCATGTTCAGCCACCGTGGGCTGTGTGGACCCGCTTCGGAACGCCATCTTGGGTTATCTGGTGCCCCCTTCTGGAACCATTTTGAGCCAGCCTGGGCGCTCTGACCGCTCGGCCCTCCCCCGTCCAGACCCAGGCGAGGTGCCCACGGTGGAAGAGGGGGCCGGCCGCCGCCTCGTCACGACCTCGGCTGCCGCCTCGGTCGTCGTCGTAGGCCGTCGCTTCGGTCGTCGTCCGCCTTCGGCCGTCGTCTCGGTCGCTCGCCGTCGTCGTCGGCCGTTGCCTCGGTCGTCGTCTGCTGCCGGCGTCGGCCGTCGCCTCGCGGCCGTCGCCGTCGTCGGCGCCGCCGCTCGGCTTGGAGGAGGCAGGCCTAGAGATTGACACCACCACCGAGATCGGCGGTGTGCCTCCACCGAGGGAAGAGGATGCCGATCTCGGCGATGGTGGTAATATTCTGGCTTCCAGGGTGGCCGAAGTACTACCGCCAACGCCGAAATCTAGGATCATCTTCCCCCTGCGGAGGCAACCCGCCGTGTTGGTGTTGGTGCCAATTTCCAGGCCTCCAGCAGAGGGCTGGGTGGATCTGTGTTCTCGCCCCGGGGCCGGCGCCGCTGCCGCGCGCGGCAGGGGGATCCCCAGGGCCCGACCTCCTGCACGTGCGTGGTCGTCAATGCCCCCTTCGTCGCCCTCGCCGTCCTCGTCCCCGTGGTCCTCGTCGTCCTCCTCGTCGTCCTCCTCGTCGTCCTCGTCATCCCGCTCCGCATCGCCCTCGTCGTCCCCCTCGTCATCCTCGTCGTCGTCGTCCCCGTGGTCGGCCATTCAGAGAGGTGTGAGTCGGGAGGCACCGGGCCTGCGTGGCCTCCCCTGGGCCTTGAGCGGATCTCGCCGGGCGCCTTGGCGTCCCGAGTCGGCCCAGGATGGGGCAGAAGTGCAACGAGGGCGGCTCAGCCGGCGGAAGGCCCGCGGAAGCTGAAGGGAGAAAGAGCATGCGCCTCGAAGAGAACTCCTCGTTGTTGGATGCATGGTTTCCGGAGCGGGCCAAGTAGAGAGCTCAGTGCACCAAGGGATTCGCACAGGTGCTTTTTGACACATTCCAGGCCCGGTCCGGGGCATTTCGGCGGGGGCTGGGGTCACGAGGCCGCCGAATCGTAAAAAGTTGTCCTTGGCCCGCCAGGGCACCAGCGAGCTCATGGAGACGGTCATCCTGGAGAAGACGATCATCAAGCTCGGATCGTTACTCGCGCTCGGGTTCGGAGAGGACCGCGCTTTGACGGATCCGTGTGCGCGACACCTCGCAGACCTACCACTGTCTTGCCTCTGCCTCCTCCTATCTGGAGTGGCGTTTCCACTTGTAGAGTGGTTTGAGTATCGTCGACCGTCATTTGGTCTGTCCGTCTTGCCCTTCCTTGCTGCGATGCAGGCCTGGAAGCATGGCTCGCCCAGAATTGGCTGTAGTCGAAACTCGCGGGGCATCCAAACCAGCTCGAGCTGATGCTCAATATGTGCAGGAAGCTGACAACGCGAGATAGGAGGCGCCGACCTCGATCGAAGTGACGCTCCGAAGGTCCTGTGCCGCGAGGCGTCGGAGAGGGAGACATGGAACGAGAAGCAAGCCGACAAGCACAGAACTGTTGGCAAGATACCGAAACTGATCCTGCACGGATATAACAAGCAAGCAAGGCCATGCAAGGCAGTGTGTAACAAGACAGCGACATGCAAGGCAGGGCAAACCGAGGCAGTGTCCCCATGCCTTGCTGCGCCCACATGCCGTCAGAGTGCCGGGCAGAGCCGTGCGCCGTACTCGTGCGATGCTGGGCAATGCCTCTCCGCCTCCCGCGCTCTTCGAAGCGGGCCAGACCGGAGCACAGCAGGGAGCTTTCAGGGTCCCACACCTCCTCCTCCTCCTCCTCCTCCTCCTGCTCCTCCTCCTCCTCCTCCTCCTCCTCCTCCTCCTCCCTCCTCCCTCCTCCCTCCCTCCCTCCTCCCTCCTCCCTCCTCCCTCCTCCCTCCTCCCTCCCCTCCTCCCCTCCCTCCCTCCTCCCATCTCCGAAGTTGTGTGCTTTGTCCCACCGGTGGTGTCCACTCGGGTTCGGCCCCGGGGGCCCTTCTCGGGCCCCCCTGGCCATCAAGAGCGGGCCCCGGACGGAGAACTATCCCCATGGGGAAGGGTCGGGGCGTCCGGGGCTGCGGCCTGCAGAACTCATATATTTGGACGCCCGACATGGGTACCGAAAAAATGGGTACGATGCCCAACAACAAATGCTGTCCCAAGCCAACAGCGGCCGCTGTTGGGCAGGCGGCCTCCTGTCTCTCAGATGTACACAGGCCGCGGCGACACCGACAGCGAGTCCCGTTCAAAATGAACAGGAACCGCTGTCGGGCATCGTACCCATTCTTTCCGTACCCATTTCGGGCGTCCGAAATATAGGCGGATGCTCGAGCTCGCCACCAGGGACCTGCGTGGCACACCCGCTCTTACGTCGATGGCCTCGATGTGGGCGGCCAGAGCTCTGGGGTGAGGCCCGCCGGCCTCGAGGGGAGCTCTCCTCGAGCACCCGGGCGCGACGTTCCTGGTCCGAGGTTCTCTGAGGCAGTACCTTGTCTGCAGCCGGCTGGGGAAACTTAGCAGATTTAGCTTTGCAAGAAGCGCATGTGGTGAATAGGCTGACGACTCTGAGCCAGCGCACACACCAAGCAGCAGGTTCTGGCAGTCTCGATGTGCCATCCGTGTGGCGCAGTGGGTGCACGGTGCATCTAGATGATGCAGTCTATGCGACAGACTCTACGTGGTGCAATATCTGTGGTGCGCTCAATGTCATGCAAGTTATACGGTGCAACCTGTGTGTCAGGGGCTACGATGGGGGCATGCATCGACTGCCAATCGCCTATTGATCGCCGATGGGGGCCCGCTATCGCCGATTTATCAGCGATGTGTCGCCGATTCCTGGCCGATGCTTTCCTCCCTGAGCAAGTTCCCCCCTTTACCCCTCGGCGCGATTCAGACTGCGAGATGCAACCCTGCTTGTGCCGCAATCTATTTGGCGCGGTCTGGGTGGGCCAATATGCGGGGGCGGCAAAGAGGGGGGTGATGACTGGGGGTGGGGGATCTCATGGCGGTGGTCACGATATTTTCCCAGATGCCATGGCGCCTCTTCCTATTTCAACACGTTCCCTGGCCCCCCCCCCTGGGCCGCGCACATGCCGCCGGCCATGATTTGCACCCCTCCCCCTCTTGGACACCCCCCTCTTTGTCAATTCAAGCCCCGCGCGGCCCGCTTCGCTTCGGCCGGAAGCGGTGCGCTCTCGCCCCGCGAATCAAAAAAAAACAGCACAAAAACAAAAAACAAAAAAAACCTCTTGGACTTTCCCCTCCTGGCCGCCCCCGAGACAGATGTGCAGAGCAGCTCCGCTGGCGCAGCCTCTGCGGAGCACCCCCCCGGGGGGCGCGGCCCGTGGGCGCCCACGGGGTGCCCCCGCGCCGAGCCGAGCTCCCGGCAGCCGCCCCGCGGGGCGCCCCGCGGAGCACCACCGCGGGCGCCCCGCGGGCGCCCGCGGGCCGGACGGCTCGGCGGCCACTCCCGGCTCCTCAGGAGCTCGGGGCCGTACGTGGTCGTTTTTTTCGGGGGCGGAAAAGAGGGGGGTGATGACTAGGGGGGGGTGGATATCATGGCGGGGGCCCTGATATTTCCCCAGATCTCGTGGCGCCTCTTCTTATTTCATTACGTCCCTGGCCCCCCCGCTGGGCCGCGCACATGCCGCCGGTCATGATTTGCACCCCCCCCTCTTGGACACCCCCCTCTTTGCCGCCCCCGATTTTTGACTGTCCCGAGGGCCAGTAAGGGCCCTCAATAAGGCCAAAACTAATGAAAAAAAACCTCCCGTCGTGATCTGTTCCCAGCTCGACGGGGGTCTGGGTTGCATCGCGCGTTCCAGAAGGTCGAGGCGCGCGCCGATGTTGCGCCATCGATGTGCTACCGTACATGGACCATGTATCCGAACCCTGCGACACAAGATGTCCCCCGGACCCCCAAATTAGTTAATGTTGGGGAGATGTGGCAATGAAGGGGGGGGCTTGGGTGGACGATACTATTCGAACCCCCCAGAGCAACACCCATATACCGATCTCAACATTGAAGTGGGGAGGGGCAGGGGGGGGGGCCAGCATCCCCTTCACGTCTGCATTGGGTTCGAATCTATTGTCCATGTACTGGAGGACCCCGACTCCGGATCCGCTCTACTTTGGGCAATTTCGCAAGTTGGGCCTGGAATTCCCGCCGCACTTTTCAAGCCTCGACGATGCCGATTTCCGCCCCACTGGACTGGACTCGAAGCGTCAAGAAGTAGGGCGAAACTGTCAGCCTTGCTTCTTGGGGGCGGAAATTTCCGCCTTACTTATTCGGCTTCTTGGATGTGGATTTCCGACGCAATTCTAAGTTGGAAAAAAGCCGTTCCCGGCTCCCCAGAAGCTGGGGAGGACCCCGACTCCAGATCCGCCCTACTTGGCCACCGATACGAGGCCGAAAAAGTAGGGCGGAGATATGTCTGAACCCAGCAGAACGTGGTGCGGAGATCCACAGAAGTAGGGCGGAAACAGTAACAGAAAAGTAGGGCGGAAATTGGCATCAGCGGGGCTTGAAAAGTCAGGCGGAAATTCCAAGCGGAAATTCCAAGCCCTACTTACGAAGTTCCCCAAAGTAGGGCGGATTCGGAGTCAGGGAGGAGCCCCCGGTTCTGGAGGGAAGAAGACACGCAGACACAATTTTGGGCGTTGCCAGAAGTGCCCCTGGCCCAAGGTCCCCCCCAGGATGCTCGGGGTGGCCCAGATGGCCTCCTGGGCACCCCTCACGAGGCCCAGAGGGCCCCAGGGGCTCCAGAATGGGGCGAAAAGCTGGGGGCACCTCGGGCCAGAGGCACTTCTAGCAAGACCCGACAATGAATCGTTGATTCCCGAGAAAATATACGAAAATATAGGCAGAGAAGGGTAAGACAAAAGCCTAGCAAATATGGGACAGTATTGGGAATCCCGCTATTTGTGTGTATTTGTTTGTGTGTCCCAGGGCCCCTTCACTAGTGGAGGCTGTTTTTGTTGTCCTCTGGTGCGCAACGGTCGTTTACCCCCCCCCCGCGTTGTGCCCGACTGTGGCGATCGCAGCGAGCCCCCGCCCCGACGCGCCCTACCCCGCCCAAGCGTTACTGTTGGCCAGGGCCCCACATCTACCCCCCATAGGGTAAGGACCGATACGTGGAAATAGTGGACCCCAAATTGCGTGTTTCTGGCACGCTACAATGTGCAATCTAAGCGGAACTATATAAGAGGTGCAGTCGACGTGGGGTAATCTATGTGATGTAATCTCTACTGTGTAATATTCTATGCGGGGAAATGCATATTGCGCAAGATCTGTGGTGGGCAGTATATGTGGTGCAATCTGTATGGTGCAGTCTATTTAGAACATATATGGGGTGCAATTCACTTTGACTGTCTTGAAGCTGTCCTCTCCACTGCTCGTGCAAACATCCCACCCTCCCACCCGCAACTTGGTCGCAAGACCTCTTAAGACCGTGACAGTAGGTACCAAATGGCACTTGGCAACGACACCGACGCCGACGGCGACAGCGACAACAACGACGACGACGCCGCCGACACCGACTACGACTACGACGACACCGACGACGTCTCCAACGACTTCGACGACGACGACAACGACCACGACGACGACGACGACGACACCGACGACGACGACGACGACGCCGACGACGACGACGATGACAACGCCGACGACGACGACGACGACGCCGACGACGACGACGCCGCCGCCGACGACGACGACGCCGACAACGACGACGACGACGACGACGAAGACGACGACCACGACGACGAGGGAGGAGGGAGGACGACGACGGCGACAACGACGACAACGACGAGGGAGGAGGGAGGACGGCGACGACGCGAACGACGAAGAAGGATGGAGGACGGCGACGCCGACGACGACAACGACGAGGGAGGAGGGAAGACGACGACGACGACGACGACGGCGACGAAATAGGAGGGACGACGACGAGATGCCGACGACGGACGACGATGTCGAGGGAGGAGGAAGGGCGACCACGGCGACAACGACAACGGAAACGGCGACGACGCCAAAGAGGACGTCGACGACGACGACGAGGAAACAGAGGACGACGACGGCGACGACGACGACGACAACGACGAGGGAGGAGGGAGGACGGTGACGACGACGACGACGCAAGAGCGCGCGCGCACGCTTTTGAAAATCCGTGTTGAAAACCATGTGTTTTTGTATGTTTGTTGGACACTCGATTTTGAAATCCTTCCGAAACCAGAGGTCTTTGAAGGATTTCGGCATTCGCGCGCGACGACGCGCGCGCGCGTGCGCTTCGTCACATTTTGTGCAGAGGATTCTCGCGGCGGCAGTGCAATCCATGTTGTGTACAATCCATGTGTCGCACTTTATGTGGTGCAATTCACTTGCCGAACTTGAAGTTGTCAATTCCACTGCTCGCGTAATCA